TTTTTTTTTTTATCACCCAATATCCAAAAATTCACGAGGTTATCGACTAATCTGAATTTGAGTCAAGCAAGATTCAATAGGTGATAAAATTTTTTCTCGTAAGTTTTAATAGAACTGCATTTTAAGAACTTAAAATCAAAATTTCTAGTTAAGATGAAAGAATCTCTTGTCCACTCTTCAACCGAACGTGGACCTCTTGCTTTACTGTTTATTATGTATTAAAAACGAAAAATTGTTTTATGGCTCCCATATTGGATGGAAGCATTTAACGATAAAAAATTTTATTGGAAATGAGTTATATAATTACACATAATCATAAATTTATTTATTATTATAAATTGTTGAAATTTATTATATTTTTAAGATGAAATTATAATTATTTTTTAAAGAGATTAATATCTATTAGTCTTGATTTTTAAAAAATTTAAAATTTTAACTTACATTTAAAAATTAAAATCTCAACTTAAAATTTAAAATTTTACCTTATTAAAAGTTGGTATTTAAATTCAAAAACAAATTATATATTTCAATATAATCAGTTTATAAATCTAAATATTAATATTAATGAAATTTTAAATTTTAAATTAAATTTTAATTAAATTAAAACAACCTAATTTAATATTAAGATTTTAATTTATTTTGAAAGTCGAGACTAATATATACATTAAAAAAATTAAAACAAATAAATATTTTTTTTTTACATCAAATAAATATTTTGTATAATTGAATCATACCTCATTAAAAATTATTTATTAGGATTTATATTTTACAAACTACATATTAAAAGTGAATCTATATCCTATAAATTTATTAAAATATTTTTAATAAAATAATATAAAAAAATAATACATACTTAAACTATATCATTTTATTTAATTAACTCTACCCTAAGATTTTATGACTTATGCGATTCACCAAAAGCTATGACCAATTCTCAAACGATGACAACGCTAATGCCCTTCTGCAAACACTCATCTCTTGATCAATTCTCCTTCTTTAACAGCAACAAGGACAACGAAATAACTCTTTTGCGACAACTCAAATGATGAGTACAAAGCACTAACCAAAATTTTGCTTGATAATGGAGAATTAGTATTTATTTAATATTTTATGAAACAAACTAAGATGAATAATTAAAAATTCATCAAATCAACGTCCTTATTAATTTTGTCTCTATTGCCGGTGATAATTAAATCCCATGAGTTGAAAACTCGCACAGGGGAAGGGTGAAAATAGGGATGGGAGTTTAATTAAACAAAATTATATAGTTTAAAAGCTTAAGGTTCTAATTTTATTTAATAGTCATAACTGATCTACATATTTTTTTATTAAAAATATTTTAATAAATTTATAAGATGCATTATATTTTTAACATATAATTTATCTTATACAACACTTTTTTCTTATAATAAAGGTTAAATACCTAATTTGGTCCCTCAGCTTTCATTTTTCAATTGAATCTACCCTTGAGCTTCAAAAAGTAACAATATTATTCTTAAACTTCAATTTTTGAGACCAATTTAGTCCTTCCATCGATGGAAGTGCCAGATAGCACATTAAGTTGCCAAAAAATCGCACCTTTTTTTTAAAAATGATGATGTGGAAAAAAAAAAAACAAAATGTGGTACTTTTTCCTTTTTTACATGGCATTTTAATTAAATTTTAATCTCCCACTCTAATATTCACCGTTTTACATTTTATAAACATCATAAACCCTAAATCTAATCTCCAACTCCCAGTTGTCAAACCCTTAACCCTCATTCACTACCAACTTCTCTTCTCTTTCTTCAACGGTGACAGCAACAACAATGGCTTTCTCCTTCCTTTCTTTCTCTTTCTCTTTTCTCCCATTGCTTTTTTTTTTTTTTTGGAACAACTTTCTCCTTTTCCCTACTCACCCTTCTCTCTCGAGACCCCTTCATCTCTAGATCTTCAAATCTCCAAATTTAATGGCTTCCCAAGGAGGGCTTCACTCTTCTTCTTCTTCCTCTTCCCTCCACCATGATCTATTAAACAAGTGAACCTAGATCTAGGTTCTCCTCATGAGTTGATTTGGGTTCTTTTAGAGAACCCATGGGTTCCCCATTCAATTTGAGAAAAGAGAAGGATGGGGAGGAGAGGGAAGGAAAAAGAAAGAGGAAGAAGACAATGAATTTTTAGGTTTGTGATTAGAATTTTTACCATATATTTATGTTTGATTAGGTGACCCTTTTTTTCTGCAAAAAGTACAATTGGGAACAACATCTGGGTATTTGATGGATGAGTAAGGTAAGGTTTGCAGAGGTAAGAGAAAAGAATACTTTTGGTACTTTTTCAAATTTTCTTCCCTCAAATTTGCAGCTCCCCAAACAAAGCAAAAGCAAGGTTCCTCTTCAAAAGGTCAAATTTGACCTATACTTGCAAGAATATTGATTTGAAGAGAGAAAAAGTTCATGCTTGCCTTGACAAAAAACTCCAAAAACTTGCTTCAGATCTACAAGTATATGCAAATAAATGATAAAATCTTTCTTCAAGTAAGTATACCCAGTGATTTTCCAACAAAAATTCCAAAATTTCATGAAGATTCGTAGAATATACGAATGGGTATGGGCAATGATAAATGAAACAAAGATATGGCTGAAGGGAATTGTGTCTTATGCGAGGAAGAGACCGAAGATGCTGACCACCTGTTCTTAAAATGCAGAGTAGCTAGAAGATTGTGGCAAGCATGCGCAAACTGGTGGGGAACAAACTTTACACTTCACAGAGATTGCTGGACAACATTTCAACATTTTGGGACATGGACTACAAAACCACACATTTCAGAAGGGTGGGACTGCATCTGGAACACAGTTTTGTGGACTATATGGATGGCACGAAACGGGAAGGTTTTTCATGATTCAAAGGTAAACAAAAGCAATCTTTTTGAACTTATTCAATTGAGATCTTTTGCTTGGGTTAAAGCAAGGAAAGCTAGGTGTTATTTCAGTCTTTCGGATTGGATGATTGATCCTACTTCTTGTCTGTTAGTAAATTGTAGACGAAAGTAGTAATGATTCGAAAGATAGTAGTAACATTGAAGGGCTGGCTTTTTGTACTTGTTGTAAGGGTTTGAGTACCCCTTGTACTCAATTTTTTCATCAATGAATTATCCATTTGCTGTTCAAAAAAAAAATTGAAAAGAGGTTGATGGAGATCAAGAAAAGTGAGGGATTAGTGAAGTTGAAGATAAGGGTATTTTGGCAACTTTAATAAATATTAAAATAATAAAATGAGTTAAAATAATATGAGATAAAGATAATTGTGTAATTTTAAGGATAAAATGCCAATTCATCCCTTCGTACATGTGTTTTTTCCATGTCATTAGTTGAAATAATAAAAAAAAAAGATTGATTTCGTGGCAATTTAACGTGCCAAATAGCACTTCGATTGATTGATGGAAGGAGTAAATTAGTTCCAAAAATTAAAGTTTAGGGATAGTATTAGTACTTTTTGAAGTTGAGGGGTAGATTTGGTTTAAAAATAGAAATTGAGGGATCAAATCAGGTATTTAACCTAAATTAAAACTATCTTTAAACTTTAAAATGTATCAAAAGTATTCTTAAATTTTAATTTTTGAAACCAATTTAGTTCTTCAGTAGTTAAGTGTTGACATAGGCTGTTATCTCATCCAAAAATAAAAAAATTTAAATCCAAAATATTAAGTGACAATTCTAAAATTATTTTATTGGTGAGTAGACAATTTCTTTATATCTACGTCATATTTTTGGGTTAATCTATTTTTTTTTATAAATTGTAATAGACTAATCAATTAACTTAAATTAAATATATTGGGACCAATCCTCTTTAATAGGTTGCGTAGCCCCCAAAAATCTTAATTATTTCTTTAAGGGGTCTTATAGCCTGTGCCTTAGGCACAGGTTGAAAATAATTTTTTTAATATTAATGATTATTTAAAAAATAAAATAAAATATTTAATTAATTAATTATCTAATTAAAACAATACATATAGTATTAATGATAAAATTAATATTAATTTTTATTATTTTTATACTAATTAATATTAAAAATATATATTAATTATATCTTTAAGAACACAGATTAAATAAATTATTTCTTTAATGCATAATTAACTTATACTTAATTCAAATAAATAGTGAGACCCATGATTAATTAATCTTCTCTCTTATCCCTCCCTTCCCCTACGTCCCTTTCTCTCTTCCCTTCCTCCTCCGTTGTATCTTCCCTCTTTCTCCAGTATTAACACACTAAACACTTGTTTGGATAAAAATTAGTAAAAAGAAAAGAAGAAAGGGGAGGGAAGGAAAGAAAATGATTGATATTAATTTTATTTTGATAGATAAAAATAAAAGAGAGAGAATGATAATATTTTTATTTAATTAAATAATTTTTTTAAATAAAATAAAATAAAATATTTAAAATTTATTAATTAAAAAAATAATTAATATAAAATATCTTTATATATTTATTTTTTAAAAACATTTAAAAATAAATATATAAAACTAATTCTTCCGAATCTTTTCAATTTGATTTGGAGGAATTGAAAATAGAAAAATAGAAGGAATTATTTTTCTCCTCATCTCTCTCCCCTTCCATTAAAATAATAATCCAAACACAACAAAAAAACGTCTTTCCTTTCATCTCCTTCATTTCCCCTCCAACTTTTTCAATTCAAATTTAGGGTAAAACTCATTTAAATTTATCAAAAGAATAAACCAAAAATTAGCACGAAGAAAACAAAGATACTCATTTCTATTGTACAAAGCAACTCCAATTGCTACTTATCTTAGATGGCACACTCAAGTTACAGATAAGGAGCACATAATTCAGGTTTTCTTTCCTATAAAAACAAAAATCACATTGAAGAAAAATACCATTCTTACACATATTTATGGAAAAAAATTCAAAATTAATAAAAACAAATGCATTTAAAAATTTTATGGGTTTTGCACAAAACGTAGATTTGGGCTTTGATTCTAGTTGAAGACCGTGCTAATCGAAACCTTATTTTGATTAGGATGCAACCCAAATCAGGTTGAAACCTCATTTGGATTGTCAAACCCAATTTGGGTTTTGCCTTATTAGATTTGGGTTCCTAGATCCCAAATGGAAAAGAAAAAAGGAAGAAGAAAAAGGAAATAAGGAGGCAGGCGAAGGAGGGAGAAGGGAGAAGCAAGGAAGAGAATGCCGGCACAGAAAACAGAGATGGGGTAAGAACATTGACACAGTGTTGAAGAGGAGGAGAAGGTAACAGGAATAGAGAGAGAAGGGCATTGCCGGAGTAGGGAAAAAGATGAGAGCAGGGGTAATTTTGTAATTCTCCATTTTACTTTATTAATTTTATTAAGAGGGACACACTTGTTTTAAAGTCTTAAAGTAATTAAATGCCATGTAAGCTAAAAATTTGCTACCATGTCATTTCCTCCTAGTATTTAAAATTAAGAAATTTGATTTTTTTTTTTGACGGAAAATTTGGCCAAGTTAGCACTTAATTGATAGAATGATTAAATTGATAAAAAATTAAAGTTTGAGAATTTGTTTAGCATTTTTTAAAGTTTAAAAATAATTTTAATTTAAAAATAAAAATTAAAAGATCAAATCAGTATTTAATCTATCCCAAGCAATAATTGACTTAGCGGTGGACCAGGTCTAGTCAACCTAGAGTCAATACCTCTGCAATAGGATTGTACTATGTTTTCCCAGTTTTCCTAGTTTTCACACAAGGAAAATTCGAGAGAAAATGTCTAAATTTTCATGCATGTTGCAAGCAATCCGACAGCGAGATGGTTGTTGTGTAGACAAGAAAACTTCCGTTATTTACCCAAAAAGAAAAAAAAAATGCAAAAAAAAAGAAAGCTTCCCTCAGCTTTTCTACCTGCCAAGATGCACTGTCTGCTCTTGCATTCTTTTATCATATCTGGTAAGTTTCCAATACATCTGCGCGGAACCGTTGCTGTAAACTCTAAAACCTTTCGTGTTCGGAAGACTATTAATAATATTTGCGAAGCAAGAAATTTTACTCTGGTGAAGTTTGCATTGATAATATTACTATGTTCTATATTGAACATTCTGCACTGGTATAAGATTAATCTCCTTTGTGCTTCAAGGAGAAAACCATACAA